CTATGCGCAAATCAGTTCACTCTGTCTTCAGTAGTCTACACGTTTACAGTAGGGGAGCTAGGTATCGCTGTATCACACGCTCCCAATTACACAATCACACACACGTCCGGATCTTCTTTCCGCGACGGCTGCTATCCTCCAACTTGTAGTCGGCTGGCTGTTACTTTATAACTCGGCGGATGTCACAGTACAACTGTGTTAGGCGGCTGCTACAGTAGAACTCTTGGTACCCACATTAGAACTGACTCCTAGCTGCTGTGCAGTTCCTTATGTATCCGCCGTGGTGCCTGTTACGCGCCACGTCACAGTAGGAAGCGGTTACGGGTACGTAGTGTTGCGCGTTACGTCACCGCGGAGGGGCGGGAGGGAGCGCTTCGTTACCGTGCGGAGGAGGGGGAGGGGAGCGCTGACTCACCCGCCGCGTCACTGCTGGTGGGGGGGTGGTTCTCCTTAGCGCAACATGTCACACTGCTCCCTCCTTAAGGCTGTTCGTCCCGAATAGCCTAACGGTGTATCCCCGTTCCTTTGATTCGGAGGCTGTTCTTGTTGCGTCTCCTGGTATTTGGGCTACTCCTTGCAGTTATTGTTCTCCGGCTGTTACAATATATATATAGATAGATAGATACATACATACATATACTGGGGAAACCATGTTATTGCTACAACCTTCCCTTAATGTAAAAAACATGTGGTTCCTGAAATTTGAATTTTGGGCACAAATGGTTATGAGTACCGCTAGGTGTCTCCCCACACACCCTTCTTGAATCAATGTGGCAAGTGGCAAAGAGTTGGGTGGTTTGGTTTATTGTTGGTGAATGTATTTCCATTGTTGTGTTTCCGCGAGTCTGCAGTTTTGCGATGGCTGACCTGAGAGAGCAGCGTGTCTGTATAAACTGCAGAAACGCACCAAATGTTGAAGCTTTTGGTGACAACAATTTAGGCGGACACACACTTACAACTGGTATAAGCATTTAAAAAACGGCCGAACATTTATTGATGATGACAATTGTTTGGGATGGCCGTCAACTGGCACCACACCAGAAAATGTCGCGAAAGTTAGGGATCTGATTCTGCAAGATCGTAGACTGACCATCCAAGACCTCTGTAACACCTTGGAACTAAGTTATGGTACATGTTAACGAATTTTGTCAGAGGAACTGAACATTAGGAGGATGGCGGCGAACTCTGTGTATATATTAACAGTCTTCAGGTGCATACAATCCCATCTACCACTTCTACACTATATGTTTCGGCAGTATGCTGCCATCTTCAGGTGTATCAATCCATTAACCATTTGTAAATGGACATATAAAGGCAAGCGGTAAAATGGTTAACAGATCGATACACCTGAAAATGGCAGCATACTGCTGGAACATGTAGTGTAGAAGTGGTAGATGGGATTGTACGAGGGGGTACCCAAAAGAAACCGAACTTATTTTTTTTAAAACTTATTTATTCAAATTTTAAGCACAAACCTTCAATCCCCTTCAAAGTACTCTCCACTTACACTAATACACTTGTCTAGTCTTTTATTCCATTTTTCAAAACTTTGTCTAAATTCATCTTTTGAGATGCTTGACAGCACCTCCGTCATTTTTTCCTTCACCTCAGCAACATCAGCAAAACGCTTTCCGTTCATGTCTCTTTTCAATCAAGGAAACAAAAAAAAGTTTTGATCATTTCGGGACTCTTCTTTCAAAGCACAGTATGCTTCCACGCGACCTTGTTTTTGTTCAGCAGTCAGCAGTCATGGCACGAATTTCGCAGCCACCCTTTTCATTCCCAAATCTTGTCAAAATTTGCTGAACTGAGCTCCAAGTCACTCCTGACAGCTCCACAATTTCTTCAATGGTCCGCTGTCGATCTTCCTTGATGATTTCATAAATTTTTTCAACATTTTCATGTGTTCGGACCGTGGAAGGAC